CCCCCCCAATGTTAAAAGATTTTAACATTAGCAAAACAAGAAGGAAGTATTACCAAGTGCTGGTTTCGCTACAGGACCTGGTGGCCCAGAAATCCTTGATGGACGTAAAGGAGTTCTTCAGTCATCAGGTTTCCCAAATCCATATCCTGCCCATTTAAATAATTCCTGGGAGATATCTGTGTCCAAAGGATTCCTGGTTAAGCTACAGATCACTGACTTGGCCATCACAGGAGAGACTGGAATGTGCAAGGAGGACAAACTGATCATCTCAGACAAATACAGCACTCTAGGTGAGCCATTACTTCTATTTTGTTCTTGCATTGTCTTGGTTGACTACATGCTGCATGCTTATTTTTATTTTTTTTTGCAATTTAGCTCGGTTGACCTGTGAGAGAAGCACATGAATGTGAGGCCGTTGGTTTGTGTTTATTGCAGCCGCTCTGCTGCGTCTGTAAATGTGTTGATTAGGAGTTGGGTCGCACAGAGCACAGCAAACTATAAATTACCTCTCATTATTCACTTCAGGGGCTGCAGTGAGGCTGATACAGCTTTATCTATTGCTCAGTACTCAAGGACTAAAGCACTGAGATGCACTCTTTCCGTGAAACACTCACAGATAAGCAAATGGTGTTTTAGTGGGGCATACTTTTAGATTAGGGCATATGTTTCTGTGCACAAAACACAAAGGAAAAATAACAATAAGCAATATGACAAAAGTCCTTGTGTTCTTTACGCCCAAAAGCAGGATGTTGTGAAAGATTCATTAACTTCTAAGATAATTTCAAGGAGGACTGTATCAAAATACTGTTTTTTTGACTGCGCTTCAGCATTTCACTTTCTTGCTATTTTCTAATGGTCACAAATTAGTATAATTCGTATATTAGTATATTTATGTTTAAGTGTTAAAAAAATGACTCAGTATGATGTAAAAGTTGGGATCTAATCCTAGATCCCACTAGGAATAAACTCACTTTCAAATGATTACACCAGGGGTGGCCAACTCCAGGCCTCGAGGGCTGGTGTCCTGCAGGTTTTAGATGTGTCCTTGATCCAACACAGCTGATTCAAATGGCTAAATGACCTCCTCATCATGTCCTGAAGTTCTCCAGAGGCCTGGTAACAAACTAATCATGCGATTCAGGTGTGTTGACCCAGGGTGATAGAGGAGAACAGCCTCCTTCCCTCATCACTGAAGTTGGGTCGTGGATGGGTTTTCCAGCATGACAATGACCCAAATTAGATCGCCAAGGCAACAAAGGAGTGGCTAAAGAAGAAGCACATTAAGGACATGGAGTGGTCTACCCAGAGCTCAGTCCTATAGAAATTCTTGTCTTAACAAGTGGCAGTCAAGAAAGCTAAAGGATTTAGAACAGAGATGTTTGCAAACCTGGTGAAAGATTACAATAAATGCCTTACCACTGTGCTTTTCAACAAGGATTATTAAACCTCACAGTAGTGAGTCATGTTGTGCTTGGGATTCAAATAATTCCACTCAATGACACGCAAATCAATTAATAACTTTTGGTTATTCTGTCTCCCTTCATAAAAATGAAATTACAATCAAAAGTAGAGCCTTTTCGTTTGTTTATAAGTGAGTAATGTCACTAATTCAGCAGGGGATCAAATAATTATTTTTCTCTCTGTAAAGTTCTCCAAATTCTGATCAGCTCATGTAGTCCATATGAAGTACCTTTGGTTTAAGGATAAAGTGTCTAGTGTGCATTGTTCATAAGTCATCGTGCTCACAATATGTATCTATGGAGTTGCAGAGTAATTAACACAACGTCCTCCACACCATGCATCATGTTAGCGGCACATCATGCGGTCCTGAGCTTTTCATTCACAGCCATCAGTAGGGTTGTTAGAGAATGATCTCAAACAGATGCCTTGTTGATTGCAAAGGTCAGAGAAGAACAACACGACAGGTTTGAGGTAATAAAACGATTCTGAAAGCTCATCAGTGGACTACAGAAGCATACGACAGCGGAAGGTGAGAAAAACATTGCCAGGCCTGATTAGTTAATTTCTGCTGTGATATTCAGCTGGTGGTGTCAGATTTTCATTCTGAATTATGTCATGAGTTCATGCTCGTGGTGATATACTCTTGGCACACTTCGTCCCTCATTGACCATGCCTCTGTGTGACCACTGTATATGGATCTCTTAATAACACACCGTGTCACAAAGCACATACCATCTTGGACTGGATTCTTGCATGCGATTCACTTGACTCAGATGGCCTCCGCAGTCACTAGCTGAGCAACAGCAAGTGCATGGTTCTGTCATGTCAATATGGCAGTCCATATTATATTTAGTGAGCTTGAGAAAACAAGTCTCCCCCTCCATCTCACTCAG